TATATTATATATATATATATATATATATATATATATATATACAAATATATATACGCATGGATATTTGTGATCAATCGAACATCCACAGCAATCTGGCATACCTCGAGGCTCCTCTCTTAGCTTTGGCAGACCCGGGTGCATGGGTCATTTGGTAGTACGTTGGCTTTTTGCGTTTGCGTGCGCCATACACAATATTCTCATCCTCACTGCATTGTGCACAAGTATGAACAAATATTCGATTTGTGGCAGAATTTAGGGGGTTGTAGACGCGCACGTGTATATACGCACATAACTGGTACAGGAAAATAATGCCTAAAATCCTCGAACTTAGAAGATACTATACCGGTGTATATTCGCAAACTAATGTGATACGCCTACCTTTCCTTCATCAGCTTGTTGATATCCATGTTCTGTCGCTGCGCCCATTTGGTCCAGAATTCAGGATCATCGACATTGAGATCTGAAATGGTGTCTTTGACTTCGAATCTAGCCTAAAAAACCACAAATATGGGGAATGAACGTTAATTCGAAGGCAATTACAGCTGTACGTTGTGTCGAGTGCATGCGTGCTTGGCATGGTTTGCAAATAACGAGGCCATAACTACGTCGGCGTAAGTACGTCTGCCGAAACATAGATGAATCTGTGCTGGCGAGTTCAAGCTGATCCTCGTTATACAGTTGTACGCGATAAATTATTTTGGAACAGTGATCATTCCCGCCGCGACCAGGAGAGCGTAATGCAGAAGAAATCTGTTACTTTCAGCAAATCTGACCAAGTATGATAAAACGCACACACTACAATACAACAAAGCGTACACATGTCACTCCCTATATGCCTCTGCAAAATTGGAAATCAAAATAAGTCCGCACACGTATTTTTTTGTTCTCAACTGATTCCCGGAAAATATCTACATGCACCGACCGCCTTACCTTAGCGAAAGAAGAGGCTCCTTGTTCAGTATCATCCTCCATCACAACCACTGTGGCACGTTTTTCCAAGATCTCGTCAATTGTTTCCGCAGAGAACTTGTTACCTTCGGTGTCCTATGGTAAAGTATGCGTGTTGTGTGTCAATGTCGTTTCCAAGCGCTTGTGGATAATGTTGTTGTACAGTTGTGCCGGGTTCTCAGCGTTGCATACCGGAGAATACGCAACTGGTAGTACAGACTGCGTATCCAAGCCTTCATCCACGTATAATCACATCCATGAAATTAAACATTTGAACAAACTCATACGTACTTAAGATGCCAGCGAGAAGGATATACGTATTTAAAAGATATTTTTGCTTGAATACATACCATTCTACTGTTTTGTAGATAGATGTCCATTAAGTATTTGCACACGTATGCTCACAGACTTGAAGCATCTCATAGATTAGGTCGAATGAGCGTATATATATATATATAGATATTATTACCAATTTGACGATAAACACGTGTATATATGTACATAGACGTATTGAAATAGAAATGACTACAGAGTTTAGGGGTGCAGATTTCCAATCAATCAAGGCCCCTCTATCGATGGAAAGAAGTTTTAAAGGTGTAAATTACTTGTAGCAAAACGTTACGCAAAAGCGTGTACATTGGTCGCTCATAAGGAATGAGAACTCTGATACTACGACGTGGAATGTATGGTTAGTGGATACCACAGGAGAGTGCTACCAGAACCTTCGCACGCAAAAAAAATACAAGCAGCTTACATTTTCGTCCATCAGGGTACCGTACGCACCCTTCTTCACCAATTCCTCAATCATTTTCTTGTTCGACAAGCCAGGCTTGGAATCTCTGTGAAGTAAAAACGAAGAAAGTAATGCAAGGTTACAAAATAATACTATCCTACACCCATGATTCATCGGGATCCGTGAACATTCTGACATATATAACTGCTATACCACTGGTATTCGACACAACATGCGACTCGTTGCAAAAAACATTTATATTAGACACTATACTACCCATTACACCTTAGTCCATATCAATAGTAAGCTGCGCACAACAACTCACGCGATCGCCGGCTGCTGATATGCTGTCAGATATAGCGTGTATAAGCGTGACATTTATGACATACTTGCTCATATTGCCCATAACGGCCTGTTCCAGCCCCAGTTTCATACTCGCTTTCTTGAACATCTCCTCCTCATAGGTGTTGTGTGTGATGAGACGATAGATCTCCACCTTGGACTTCTGCCCAATGCGATGCACGCGCGCTTGTGCCTGCGGACAGCACAGTGTGTGACAAGCGAATGTAGTGAGTGCCAGGAAAAGACATCGCACCGCCACATTGTAACTGCCGTGGGATGTATATATTGCGTCGAAATTCAGGATTATGACAGGGTGTGCGCTACGGTATACAGCTGGATAGATGATTAAGCGATGTAGCGAGGCCATTCTTAGTCATGGCATAGTGCCACAGCTAACACATTTATATATATATATATATATATATATATATATATATATATTACATGTATATGTATGTTTAGGCGTGAGACTCCTCCATCATGTTCTTGTTATATATAAATATTTGCACACGGCCGCAAGGCTTCGAGAACACAACACATATAGCATACACAAGTGAAAAAGTCGAGAATACAAAATACAATACACAAAGCAATCGTACACATAGTTCAGAGAAGGAGACAAAACGCAAAACAATTCACAGTGGCGTGCACAGACGAAACATGTCCGTAAGACAACTGTCACACACGACCGAAGTATACCGAAATAGTAACAAAGACACGAGCATTGTACCTGGACGTCGTTCTGCGGATTCCAGTCGCTGTCGTAGATGATCACCGTATCGGCAGCTGTCAGATTGATACCCACACCGCCAGCCTTGGTCGACAGCAGGAACACAAACCCGTCCGAATCCTTCCTAGAGTAACGGTCGATGGCTTGCTGTCTCGCTTCGCCTCCGGTATTACCGTCAAGTCGTTCGAAGTTGTAGCTGTATAAGAATTAGGTCAGAGCATCTGTGAATGCGTGTGTATAAGATTAACTCAGAATCACGGCACTGCTCGCTACGAGGTTGACCGATATGCCACTTGTTCAAAGAACGCCTTCGAATTTAGGATGTAATCTAAACTCCCCCCAATTCGATACGCTACAGAACAACTTACTTAGCAGCTTCAAGATAATCCTGGAGAATATCTAGGCATTTCGTCATCTGTGAGAAAATGAGAACCTTGTGTCCACCGGCCTGCGAGTATGGAAAGTTGTTGAAATAAAAATCATTAGATCATAGCAATCGAATAAAATAAACACCAAATCAAAGTAGTACATGAAATCAAAGTAATTGAAGGAAATAATTATGAAACCAAGTAGTTGCACGAAGTGGTCATTGGATCCAATTGAATACAAAGCACATTAGATCGTAGCAATCGAAGGTAACGAGGAATATAGCAGTCGCCAATACTTCATACGAATAGGATGGCATCACAACTAAAAAGCAAAGCAAGCTCAATTTTTGCGGTCAATGAGCAAATCAACACCTAGAGATATGCAAGTGGGTTAGCGTGTTCATTTTTAAGCGTGGTCTATGTTAAAGAAGCACAAGTGCGTTGTATGCGTCCAGTCAGCAGCAATGTACATCACACGCGACACGCACGTTTGCCTATGCTTGTAGATTTCGTATGTGTTCCCATACATCCACAGGCCGCAAAGCACATGTTTATAAGAAATAAATGCGTGCACAAGGTACATAGTCTACAAACAGAGGACTCGCCGCATTGTACGCCAGCACGTACAATACCTTTTTAACTTCGCAGCAAATAGCAAAAACCTATTCTAGAATTGAAATCACAACAATCTATCCAGCATACCTTCAATTTCTTCAGCAGCTTGTCAACTAGTACCATCTTGCCTGATGCGTGGATCAACGCTTGATCCCTCTTTTCAGGCGTGTCGCACTTTTCTTCGAGAACAACGCTATCCTCGCAGCCTAATTGAAAGAGAGGCATACAATAAACAAACACACAAATGATAAGTGCCGTATATATGTATATTGGTTCAAAGTTGATGTATTCTGTAAGATATTAAGCTATCGGTGTGATGTGCCAAGTCGCAGAAGTCAGACACACCCAGCCGTCGTATACATCCGCAAAATACACAAAATAATAGAACTATGCCTGTACATCATCTGTAATGCCACAGAGATTTCATAGCCGTATACAGTTATTGAAACCTCTAGTTCCACTAAAAACTTGTGCACTAGACGATGAGAACTCCTTGAAAAACTCGAAAGTACTGCGATAGCCTAGCCAATTCGACACACCAGTAATCAAGTACGGGTGGATGCAGCATTTCCGCAACTCCATGGATATATTGTTTAAGTTCGGCAGAGAAGTGCCTGCCATAGGGATATAACCGGAGTCGTTGAGCAGTGTATATGCTTACATTTCTATACTTACAACGAAATGTTATTCTATTTCGGTAAATTAACCTGTCGCAGGGTTAGGCTCAAAAGTAGAACAACAGAAACTTATTGTGCCCTCAGTCAACCGACAATCGTACATAAGCTATTGCCACCTGTTGAACATTGTCCGAAATATCATGATTATATGGTTGGATGCAGAGATTTGTCCGTGTATATACATTAAGAAGCAAAGGTAGACATCCAATACCTTGGGCTAGCACCTTGAGGTTACGTTCGAGAATGGCTCGGTAGTATCGCTTCTGAATGGACGTCAGTTCGACCTGCACAATAGTTTCTTTCTTCTGAGGGATTTCCTTCTTGACATCCCGTTTCTCGCGTCGCAACATATATTTATGCAGCACCTGCCAAGGACAGATTTGGAAAAGAAGCGCGTGTTAGAGGCAGACAACACATTACAGGTCCAAATAAATATGCACCAAAGTGAGGATGAAACTAATTAAGAACAAGTGAGGTTCCATACAGACCATATTAAAGAAAAGAAGCACGGGTGTCGGCAACTAGTATATGAATGAAAGGAATTAGGCACAAGCCCCGGCAAAACACTGATATAAAGCTACCCGACCCACGTCAAGGACAGACTAGCATGCACTGTACAGTATGAAACACAGCAGACTACAGGTAGATACCGCCGAGGTCATGCTATACAGAAACTTTCAATGTGCATACATCCTGCAGCTTCTTCACATCAGTGTCCGATTTCACGTCTCCAAAATCATCCAGGAAATCCTCCAAATCCGGAAAGCGCGGCTCATCCATATAGTTCAACAGGGCCCAGATCTCATTGACACTGTTCTGCAGAGGGGTACCGGTCAGCAACACCTGGTGCATGAACTTGTACTCGCGCAGCTGATTTTGAAGCTTGCAGTCCACGTTCTTGAGTCGGTGGGCTTCGTCGAGAATGCACGTGGTGAACCGGATGGCTTTGAGCAGCGTCGATTCCTGCAGCGCGTACTCGTACGTCGTCAGGATCACATCGAACTTGTACTGCTTCTTGTCCACTTTCCCGTCGCTGTATTGTGCATGCAGGTAATAGGTCGTGCAGTGGGGCGAGTTCAGTTGCTTGTCCATGGTTGTTTGAAGACAGAGCGTGTACGCGGCGCTGATGTCTGGCCACTAGAGAATACGAATGTGCTCGCTCGCAGGCTCGTAGAGACTATCGCGAGCATGGGTGCCGCCCTGCTTTTCATACATCTGCAGCGTCATGTACGATTTCCATGTCCATGGTCAATCATGTATAGGCAACACGTGCTCAGACATAGCTGTGCATTGGCTGATTCATATTTCATGAGGTACGTTGCGCCGCACAGAAAATCGCACGCACAAATGAGATCGAAAACTCAAAACAAAAAACAAAAAAAACATTTTTCACACTCGCATCCATACCGGCGATGGAAAAGCTCCGTTTCTTTGATCACTCTGCGGTTGGTTGAAGATCTGTGGATTGTGTGGTAGTAGAAAATCAATGATACAATGCAGTCAGATGGCATGGCTTTACTTTTAGTACGACCGCGAGTTCTGGTGTCGTCGAATGTTGAAGAGTTTCCAATTTTGGTTGAATCGTGATTGCGACTGAAGCAACGGCGGTGCTAGCTTGGCATTGAAACTATTGGCCGATTTTGGACTCAGTGACCGTGTTCTGGTGTTGCCAGAGTTGTTGCTTGCAAGCTTGTTCATATTTGATACACATGTGTCAGCCTGCTTGGTCCACACGGATAATGGTGACCATTCAGGCCACAAACTCGCCCATGCAGAGCCAAAAAGGGCGAGGCAACAATCACGCCAAGTCACTGACCAACAATAAGCCCTTCAATCACCCAATACTATCCATATAGGCGCAATAGAATCCCTTACTCGTTAACACAACCTACACGTCTGTCCACGACTCGCACTCATATAGATGAGTACTCGCGCACTTTCACAAACGTCGAATTTTCAGGCAATAAGGACACTTTTTCGCCAGACACACTCACCCTTTGATCAGCACCACATTTAAATCCGTCCATGTTTCGAACTCGCGCAGCCAGTGGCCTATAGTCGACAGAGGGGCCACCACTAGGAACGGCCCGGCCAATTTGAGGGTCACGTGTAGGTGGTGGATAAACGCCACACTCTGTACTGTTTTACCCAACCCCATCTCATCCGCCAGTATACAGTTGCGATTCTGGTGCCACTGCCAGACCATCCTGCAAAGCGGAATTCAGGTATAAATGTGTGATAATACACGTTTGCGTCAGGCGACACTCATAGGGATCGATAAGTGCGATTATCTACAACAGACATTACGTGAGGGTAAAAATGCTTGGAGGAATTGTACAAGTCCGCGACAGAGCACGAGTTTGGGAGTACATGGTAGGTGAGATGGCAGGGGTGCGAAAATGCAAAGCAGAGTGTGCAAGGAACTACAATCCCCAGGAGCAAATTATATACATCTGTAAATCATCGATCCAGACAAAGGGATATATAACAATGTACAGTGCGAAATGGGACGCTGTAACACACCAGTTCAGACCCTCCAATTGGTAGTCGAGCAGCTTGTAGGGCTCCGGGAAGTCCTTAGGCGACTCCTCAATCACT